AGTTTGAAATTCTATAAATAACAAAATTACAGAATGCAGTTATATCACATATTCACCTTTTACGTTTTTAGCGTACCGTAATAAAATAATATGCAAGTAAACACATATTCATCGTACATCCCAGCAATTCTACGAGACAGATATTTCGCATAATGGTTTCCATACGCGATATAAAACTGAAAAGCATATTTGCGACTGTAATATATTTTTTCTTGTATTTATTAAAAGTAGGTATAAAAAAGGTATTAAAAAGTAGAACGCGAGAGAGCTTATGTGGAACCGTTAAATGTAAATGTACGTTATTCGTGTGAACGTTGTTTCAATGATGTAATCTTCGATACTGAAACGAAATACCTCAACACCCTTAAGTGATGCTCCACGATAACAGCCAGCCTTTGCTCAACGTATTTGTTCTCCCTATCTTCGTCTACGACAAGTTCGTTTAACCACGAAAACAGCATGTTTAGCTGACCATACGCGTGCATCGCGAAGACAGCGTCGAGGCTGCAAGCGCCCACCGTAACAGAGTTCACTATAAAACACGATAGCCACTCCACACCCACCATAATTTCGTTCACGGGGCTGAATCTCGTGTCGATGAATTTGGTGTAAATTGGACAAGTCATCGGATGCATCGAGACGGTTTCGTTGCCGACGATGACGATAGTGGTTGACAGCGATTTCGCGACAGCGAACAATAATGTGCCGCTCTGCATGAACAACGCGCAGAATCCGGCGACGAAGCGGCCGATCTTGGCTTGTCGCATCATTATTTGACGATCCTCGATCTTTCGAACGAGCCGCCAGTCCGTCTCCATGTGCAGCACGCACTCGCGGATGTCGTCGCCGCGCGCGAGGAGCAAACAGTAATTGATCATGCCCATGATCCAGTGGCTCAGCGGACCCATCACGCTTACTTTGATCTCAAAATCCTTCTCTTCTAGCGACACGTATAACACACACGGCACCATGACGATCGCTATTAAGGACGCGCACGTTAAAATGTGCATATGCGAGGGGAGCTTTTCTACCCTCGTGGCCGTGCTCATTCGCGGCCAAGCACCAATCGGTAAGAGAAACCAACGAGTCAGTTGAAGACTATAATTGTTATCGCTTCTATAGGGAAGCTCGATGCCCCTTGTCACATAGTAAGAATACGTCATGATTGTCGCGGAGACGTACGATGCACTGACTACAGCGAACGGTGCACTGACTAGAGCTACGTTCAAATGAGCGCGTGCGCAAATCTTTAGAGCGGTTTAATGAACGGGCAGGGTGATGTATGTGCTTCCGGACAGAGACGCATGCACATCTGATCGATAATTGCTAGTCGTGGAAATGTAGCGTTGACCGTTTGGGAGAGAATGTACGGAAACCGTCATGAAAAGATAAAGGATGGTGCAGTATTGTTTTAATAAAAAAAATTTTTTACTATTGTGTGTAAATATGTGAATTACGGTACGTTTGGAGAAATGCATTGAATCTCTCATTTAATTAAGTATTATTTATGTCACACTCATGATTAGATATATTTGATTTTTGTTGATATTAAATATTAATTTTTACTTTTAAGAAAACTCTTGGATGACATGTAACTTTACTGTACTTTCAAATAACGTAATTATATAAATTGTATTGTGTGTGCTCGACGTAACTTCTATTTATTAAGCATTTTTACTATACTATTTTACATATATATACTATCTACATTTATACTACACATATTTATACCTATCCATATACTAGTACTTTATATATACTATCAGTTTTATATTTAATATATATTTCTTCAAAATATATTTCTTACTTTTTCTAATTTAATATAGTTCACGCAGAGGTTGACATAGTTCGTAACATATTCAAATATACCACGGAAGTCTTAATTACCTGAAACAGCAATGTCTTCTTTCCTATTTACGATATAAATTAAAAGTCCGGAAAATTAATAGAAATAAGTTTAAAATAATATATAAATTTAAACGGAAAAATGCAACCAGTATACGAATATTTTTAATGATGCAGTTAATGAATATTTATAAAATATATAGAATATATATCAAATTTTTATTAATGCAGGTGTTATAAATGTAACATATTATATTACTTACATCACCGAAAGTTGCGATAGACAAATGAAATAATTTTCCAGCAGTCATCTTGATAACGTTACTCGATCGTGCTATCACCAAAATAAGTCCAAGGGCAGTTTCGTGCGGTAATTCGTACCAATCGATCATATACGCTTTTTCGCCAACATTCTTGCACTAAGAAATTTGAACTTAATTTTTTTATTGATGTCCAGAAATATAAAAAATATTTAAAGAAATATTACAAGATGCGGAAGTTATAAATATACGAGAAATAAATATCCACTTTCTCGAATACATATTATATATATCTTAAATATTAATTATCTTTAACTCGGTTTGCAGCTATTACCTGTTCTGTGAGAATCTCACCGATGTAACAAAATATCAAAATGTTGAAAGCCACAGACAGGTATATAAGGACATATGACATTGCCTTCGCTGCATCAAACGAGTCCAAATTCTGTAAAACGAAAGTTTAAGTTTAAGTTTCGATTAGATAACGAAGAATTGATCTTTGTTGGTATTTACTTTACTATATTGAAGAATACTGAAGTTTGATATTCTATAAATAAAAGTATAGAATGCAATTATATCACATATTCACCTTTCACGTTTTTAGCGTACCGTAATAAAATAATATGCAAGTAAACACATATTCATCGTACTTCCCAGCAATTCCACGAGACAGATATTTCGCATAATGGTTTCCATACGCGATATAAAACTGAAACGCATATACGCGAATATAATATGTGTGATATATTTTTTCTTGTATTTATAGAAAAACGACCTTATGTGGAATTGTTTTAAATATAAATATATTTACTCTCATGTGAACATTATTTTAATATGATGAAAATGCAATTTTTGATACTAAAACGAGATACCTGAGCACTCTTAAATGATGCTCCACGATAACGGCCAGCCTTTGCTTAGCGCATTTGTTTCCCTTATCTTCGTCTACGAGTTTGTTTAACCACGAAAATAGCACGTTCAGCTGACCACACGCGTGCATCGCGAAGACAGCGTCGAGGCTGCAAGCGCCCACGTTAACAGAGTTCACTGTAAAAGTTGACAGTAATTCCACAACCACCATAATTTCGTTCGCGGGGCTGAATCTCGTGTCGATGAATTTGGTATAAATAGGACAGGCCATCGGATGAAATGAGACGGTTTCGTTGCCGACAATGACGATAGTGGTTGACAGCGATTTCGCGATAGCGAAGAGAAATGTGCCGCTCTGCATGAACACCGCACAGAATCCGGCGATGAAGCGACCGATCTTGGCTTGTCGCAACATTATTTGACGATCCTCGATCTTTCGAACGACCCGCCAGTCCGTCTCCATGTGCAGCATGCACTCGCGGATGTCGTCGACGCGCGCGAGGAGCAAACAGTAATTGATCATGCCCATGATCCAGTGGCTCAGCGGACCTATTAGGCTTATTTTGATCTTGGCATCTTTCTCCTCTAGCGACACGTATAACACAAACGGCACCATGACGATCGCTATTAAGAATGCGCATGCGAAAATGTGCATATGCGAGGGGAGCTTTTCTACCCTCGTGGCCGTGCTCATTCGCGGCCAAGCCCCAATCGGTAACAGAAACCAACGAATTAGTTGAAGACTGTAATTATAATCGTTTTTGTAGGGAAGCTCGATGCCCCTTGTCACATGGTGAGAATACGTCATGATCGCTTCGCGGTGGCGCACAATGTACTGACCTCGGCGAACACCTGCTGGAGCTGTGTTCGAACGAGCGCCTGCGCGAATCGTTGGTGAACGGACAGGGCGACAGGGTGATGTACTTTGTTAGAGAGACGCGTGCACGTCTGATCGATAATTGATTCTCGTCGAAGTGTCGCGTTGATTCTTTCTTGTGCAAAATGCGTTTTGAAAGTGTTAATATGCTTGCAATGGCGACATTAAAATATTAAATTTATACTATAACTATACTATACTATAACTATACTATAACTATAAAATGCTTGTTGCATTGTTTGTTCCCGGCGTCGCGATGTGTGTGTCGAAAGGAAAGCTATAAATAAAATAAAAAGACAAAACAACAATTTTAATATTCTGTGAACTTTGAGATACATATAGCAAGTGAGTATTTATACGTTCTTTATATGTACTTTAATTCTTTGTACACTATGATAATTTCGACAATTTTTGTAAGAATTATATTATTATATCTAAAGGCTCAGTATATGAAATATTAAACTCAATTAGGCAATAAGAGCCAAGCGGAGATTATTTTCGCTAAAATTTTAATACAATATATGTCAATCACTATTAGAATGTCAGTTACAATATATACGTTTCAACTCTTTTTGGGGTCATCCTCAGCGCGTTGCCTACACATTATATAAAGCTAAATCTAAATCTACATATCTTTTCCCGTAAACTATTGACGAATCGGTTAATCCTAACGGTCGTTTAGGCAAGTGCGCACTCCGAAGCCTGCCCAGGTGTCTTTGTGTGTAATTTCCTGGTTTGAGAGCCAAGAAATTTGCTTACATCTCGTCATGGTACGATTGTGAGACACAGATAGTGCAGTTATTAAATAGTTCGCAATTAGGATTGTCCGTGTAAGTGGTGGACTAACGATATCATTGTTCTTACAAAAGCAATGGAGCGGACCGTGTCCCGTTAAAATGTCGACACGAAGACACCTGGGGAGGCTTCGGAGTGCGCACTTGCCTAAACGACCGTTAGGATTAACCGATTCGCCAATAGTTTACGGGAAAAGAAGGCACTATGTAGATTTAGATTTAGCTTTATATAATGTGTAGGCAACGCGCTGAGGATGACCCCAAAAAGGGTTGAAACGTACGTATTGTAATTCACATTCTAATAGTGATTGACATTGTATTAAAATTTTAGCAAAAATAATCTAGCTTGGCTTTTATTGCCTAATTGAGTTTAATAATTATATTATTATTAATAATTAAGAAAAGTGGCATTACTAATAGCTTTAAAATAGTTTCCTCTTGCTTGGGTATTTAATTGACGCCTATTTTTTACGTAATATGTTACATTATAGTACGAAGTATATTCAGATATGCCGCAGATGTTTTAATCACCTAGAATAAAGAAACAATGGACGAAATAAAATAAATTTTATAAGATTAATTATTATGTTAATAATTCTATAAAATATAAATTTTTTTTATATATAATTTTTTTTTTTAAGCTTTATTAAGTTAAATTATTTTACGTGTATAAAATGGAAAAGATTTATAATATGCGCACTATAGCAAAAATACAATAAAGAATACAGGAAATAACGAAACTTCATTTTTGGATGAAAATGTTCGATGTTGCCGAAATGTATACTTACGTCACCAAATGTCATTAAAGAGAGTTGAATCAATTTTCCAGCAGTAATTTTAATCACAACACCGGATCTCGATATTATCAGCACCATTCCAAGGGCAGTTTTATGAGGTAAAAGGTACCAATTAGTAAAGTAAGCCATTTCGCCAACCTTTTTACACTGCAGTTAATTTTATGAATATTACGAGAATATTTTTGTGGATTAATTGAATAAATATTTTCAATATTTTTGTTACAACATAAATATAAATAACAATCGAAACAAGCAGTTTTGTGGTTTGCTTGCACGCATTACCTGCTCCGTGATTATTTCACCGATGTAACAAAATATAAAGATATTAAAAGATAATGATATGAACACAAGACCGTATGTTGTTATAGTCTTCGTGTTTCTTGCATTCCATTCCTGAAATTGCAAAACCGAGTGCCACAAAAAGAAAAGAAAAATGTTAAAAAAGAAAAGTGTCATGTCAAAAAGTGTGCATTTTTATTTCAAAGAAAAAAAAAGGATATATCCAGTCATATTTTTATCATACCTTGATAGTACAGAAGCCGAGCAGGCACAAATTTATCGTGCATCCAAATAATTCCACCAAGCATATTTGATTCATAATTTTTTCGAAGCGTGATATGAAACTGGAAATACCATAATTATTTTAATTTTCAATATAATTAGTACATATCGTAAATCTTGCAAATTCCTTATAAACTGAATTAGGCGAGATACCCTTACTTTAGCACACGTAGATGATGCTCGACTATGTTCGCCAGTTTGCGCTCGGCGGTCTGCTTCTCCTTTCTGTCGTCGATCAGCTCGTTCAGCCACGTGTAGAGCACGGCGAATTGGCCGCACACGTGCATCGCGAAAACCGCGGCGAGACTGCACGCACCTACGGTGATGGAATTAGCTATGAAACCGGACAGGAATTGTATCATCAGCACGATCTCGTTCGCCGGATCGCGGCTGGTGTCCAATAGCTTGCTGTAGAACGGACAAGGGAGCCGTCGCGCCAAGATAGTCTCGTTGCCGATCACGAAGATCATCGGCGTTAAACTGTTCACCACACTGTACGAGAACACACCGCAGTGCATGAAAACGGCGCAAAATCCAGCCACGGAACGGCCGAATTTGGCGTATCTGAGCATCGATCCGCGATCCACGTTTCTGCTCACCGCGCACCAATCGCTCTCCATGTGCTCGATGCAACGACGTATGTCCTCGCTGCGCCACAGCAAAGAGGTATAATTCATTCCGCTCATAATCCAGTGGCTCACGGGACCCACCGAATTCATCTTAGTCAAGAGATCCTGCTCCTCGAAATAGAAGTACAGCATGCTAGGCACAACCGTGAAAGCTATGAGGGCGTAGCATGTTATCTGGATGATTCGCGATAGGAGTCTCTCGGTGATCGTGGTAGCGCGCGACTCCGGCCAGGCACCGATCGGTTTCAAAAACCAGCGATTCAGCTGAAGACTATAATCATGTTTGTTACGGCGATACAGAACTGACGTCGGCTTATCGGATTCGGGTGCGATCGTCATGATCGTTCTTTCGAAGCGCGCAAGTTACTGACTGTTACTGACCGTCCTCCCGTTATGCCGTTTTTCAGTGGAAGCGGAGAAAGTCAATGTGGCGATTGCGCAGATCTTCATTCGGAGTATTATATACGTGGAAGAGGCGGGAGACAGTCTGCTAATCGATAATCGCTACTTGTTGCACCGCCAGTTGCAAGTAAAGACATGTAGATAACATGCGAATTGAGACGTGTGCAGTACAGTTGTTTCGCAAGTGATAAATCAAGTATAAAATCGTAAACTATTTAACTTGTCTAATATTTATAATTTGTAAAATTAATTTATTTTGTTGCGCAGAGGGAAAATCATTTTTCTTAATGCGAACTAAAGTAAAGATTGATAAAAAAGATAATGAGAAGATTGATAAGTTGCAACGATAATGAGAAAAATGAGAAGATTGACAAGTCGCAACATTATACAAATCTACTATTTAAAATGCATATTATGCACAATTTTTACATGTACAATATACATATATAATAATTTTGTGGAAAATATTTATTATGACAGATATTATTTAAGACTCACATTCTATATTGTATAATATTTACACAGTTAAAGTTCTAAGCATATTCAACTATGCCACAGAAGTTTTAATTATTTAAATTAATTAAAAAAACTTAATTTGCATATAACTTGTAATATATAAAAAACACGTTTTTTTTTCGAATACTTATATCACCGAAAGTTGGGTGATTAATCTATGAAATATTTTGCAGTAATTTTGATAACTATGTTCGATCGTAAAATTATTAAAATCAGATTGAGCATAATTTTACTGGTATTAATTTGTCATATAAGCTACTTCATCTCTCAACTTGTTTACATTGTCGTGATTTAAGATTAAATTTCTTGAATCAAGATGTCGTTTACTATCAAACCGGTTAATTTCGCAAGGCATACTTGACACATAATTATCTCCATGCGCCAAAGAAACCTGAAATTGATGCACTCAACAGTAATTGCATGCATTACATTCAATGTTTCTATCCAATTTATCTTATAGTGAAAATAATTATTATTCTAGAGAGCTTTTATAGACAAAATATTAAGCTTCTAAGAATACATTTAAAATTATTTTAATATAACATTAACATTATGATAACATTATTAATAATATAAGTAATATTATTATAATATTTAATGTAATATATTACAATAATATTAATAACAGTAAAATAACAGTTTACAAGAAAGTAATTTTAAATAAATTTAGTTAAATGATTATTTAGATTCGATTATTTTATTATTATCTTACAGATATTCAAAAGTACAAGTGTGCATAATGATAAATTATACAGCCATCTTGCCTGAATAATCGTAAATGACGCTCCACGAGATTCATCAGTTTTCTCTGAACGACGTCGCGTTGTTTTTCCTCATCAAGTTCTTTCAGTCGCGACATCACTACACCAAGCAGACCAAATGAATGCATCGCGAATACTGCGGCTAGACCACACGCATCAACCTTGTGGTGTTATTTACCACGAGGGACGAGAGGCACTGAAGCGTGAATACGACCTCGTCCACCGGGGTAAACCTGGTGTCCACGAGCTTGTTGAAAGACGAACATGGTAATTAACCTGTGTTTCCCTCCCTACGTTATAAAAAAAGATACCACGCATAATGAGCGCATAAACGTCAGCTATAACGCCCATTCTTGCACTGGCCGTTTCTCAACATCATTTCTTGATCGCCCTCTCCCCTCGTCATTCGCCAATCGGCTTCCGTATGATCGATAGATTTAGGTATTTGCCCTTTTTGATACAACAGCGAATAATAATTTATATCACCCACGAGCCAGTGACTTCTATTCCAGTGGGTTCTACGACCTTCAGTTTTAAACGGACATTTTTCTTTTCGAAAAGAATGTACAGTAGAAGGTATCACAGTGAGACCTATCAAGGAACGTTAATCTCAGAATTTTTAATATAATTTTTTCAACTGCCGAGCTCGTGAATAATTCTGGCCAAACACCTATCAAGATCCAACGGATCTCAATTCAAGACTATAATCGTTATTTTGGTCCTTTCACGAGTCCACAATAGCTGTAAATACCTATTTTGGACTCGTGGGAAGAACGCATTGTGCTTAATCCGCGGCAGGCACGTCAAATACTAGTCTTTACTACTGACCGTATGTCTCGATGATAAGCAGTATATAGTTACGGCAGTGTCTGCGCGGACATATAGCTTATTTCCCGAGAGAAAATACATTGCTGTGTCGGCTGACTGTGCATAATTGATATTTATAGTACCGCAACTTGTTGCATATAGAAGCTCAGCGTAATGTGCGGTATACGAGCAATGAAGGTATAGAAAATGATTGAACAAGTGCCGTCAGTTATAAGTCACGTTACGTAAACACGATGAATTTTTCATTCGTGAAATATAGTTCTTTACGTTACAAGATATATGTCTTTCGTTCTGCATACGGGAAGATCGTATGCTTTACTTGACGTTTTGCTCTAAATTGTTTCATTAAGAACTCTATTCTATTTTATTTGACATGCTCTTGAGAGCATATCAAATGAAATAGAAGTGAAACAAATAATTGTAAGCACGCTTTAAGTTGAGTAGGTATTAATAGAAAAAATACGAAACGAAGACGGAGCTTGTTGAGTGTATATTGTTTTTTTAAATAATTATGAATATGTAAAAATAATAGAAGATTTATATATGCGATAGACTGCGCATATTTAGACAAAGAGAATTTACATATACGGCAAATTAAACGTATTTAGACATAGAAGATGTGATAGATTTTTAGATAAGTGTTAATTTAATACATCCCATCCTTTTCTCTTTATTTCTATGCAAAGTTGGATGACTAATTGACATTGTATCTTCTAAAGTTCAATCTTATTATTTATTGTTCGAATATTATTATTTATTGCAAATACAATTCATCAATATAAATAATCTATAAACTTTTTTAAGAAGAAAATTTTTAAGAAGTTAGTTTACGTAACATATTCAAGTAGGCAACCGACGTCTTAATCACCTGTTTGTTTAATGAATGATTTATAAATTAATTTTATGAATTATTATTACATTATATAGGATTTACAATTAATTCATATTAGTACTTACATCACCGAAACTGCTTATTGATAAATCGATGATATTTCCAGCAGTAAGTTTGACCGATGAATTGGACATCGCGATCATTAATATAACAGCGAGAGCTTTCCTTCCCGCTAGACGATGCCAGTCGATCATGTACGATATTTCACTAATCCTCTTGCACTGTATATATTTACAAGATTAATTTATTAATTTATTAAATATATTACACATTACCTTACATTTGTAGCAATAAAAATTATTTCGTAAAATCGCGTATATTTTTTAATATTTGATAGTGAGAAATTATACCTGCTCGGCGACAAGTTCACCTATATAACAAAATAGGAAGATATTGAAGGTGAAAGATATAAGCAGAATAACGTATGTTACGTAAGTTGCGAAATCGCCGATCTCCCATTCCTGCAATTTGAAAATTCTTATTTTCGGAAACACATATTCTGCATAGCATCGATCGTATTCTGATATTACTGCGGAATAGCGTGCTCTGCCGCACGTACATTTTGCACGATATGCCTACCATGATAACGTAATATCCAAGAAAACACAAGTTTAGCGTACATCCTACAATTTCCACGAGAGATATTTCGTGCAATACTTTTTCCGTTAACGATATAAAACTGCAAAACATTACACGTATGGTTGGACATATAGGAATCAGTCAGTCATAAAATTGCAGATAAGAAAACAATATATAATTTTCACAATTCTCTTTTGTGCGAATTATTTTGCGAATAAAACTTTTTTCTTGCATAGAAATGAAGAATGTTGAGTATATAACACAGGTATTGTCAACTTCGAGCTCCGCAGTCACGACACGTCCAACGGAGGAGCCCCTTTCCCTCGCTCTTAGATGGAGCAGATAGAAAGGGAGAAGTGTCGTAGCAGCTCCGAAGCTCGAAGTTGACCATGCCTGATACAACACATTTAAAGAAGATAATTATTATTTTCTGGATAGCAAACTTACCGCAAAATTCGCACATGTTCTCGCACAATTATCGCCAGCCTCTCGTCCACGTTGTTACAAAAATCCTCTCGCCCGTCCACCAGATGCACGATCCACTGTACGAGAACCTCCAAACGGCCGTAAGCGTGTATCGCTAAAACGACAGTCAAACAACAGGCGGCGGCTGTGACCGCTTGCGTAACGAAACCCGCTACGCACTGTATCCAAAAAAAAATCTCACTAATTGGACTGTGACGCGTGTCGACGATCGCCCTAGCGACCGGATACACCAGTGGCTGATACGTCATGTTACTGTCCTCCTCCGTAACCTTGCCCGCGCTGATCGGCATGGCGATGTGATAGAACGCGGCACTGCCGTACGTGAAGATCGTGCAGGTCATCACGAGACGACGGGCGAACTCCGCGTTCCTGACCATGATCGCGCGATCACCGCGATGCCGCGTGTTCATCCAGTCGCTTTTGACGTGCTCGACGCACACGCGGATATCTCTTCCGTGAAAGATCAGTGAGATGTACTTCAGGAATACCATCAGGCAGAAGCTCAGCGGCCCGGTGAACTTCAAGGTGCTGTACGTGTCCTCGACTTCGAGCGCGACGAATAAGGCGCACGGGACGAAGAGGAAGATGACCAGACCGATGCAAATTACGTTCATCAGCAAGTGCGCGTATCTGTTTAGCGGAGAGGTGGATTCGAGTGATCTCGGCCAGGCGCCGATTGACTTCAGTATCCAACGGGTCTGCTGGATGCTCAGCCGCACGTATTTCTCATGATCGTACGCGATCGCGACCGGACTTGACTTCTGAATAGACGGTGATCCGCGCATCGTGAAAGCACGGAAGCTCAGGTAGTACTGAAAGGATTGAAGGACGGATAGCGTCGAGCGCTTGCGCGCTCGACTTTCAAGGGAAGAGCGATCAAACAATCAGTCATGTCATGAAGTTGAAGGGTGCATTTTATATTGACTTTTACGTGAGTTCCAAGAGGGGATTCACCTCTTCCTCTTCCTTGTATGATATAGTGGTCACTGTTCCGTGAATTATGTGCGTAAAACTTGTATTCTCTTCCCCATAGATATCTTCCGCGAAGCAGTCGGGATGTCATTGATATAAGAATCGCGATGTGATTCTACTTTTCAAGAATTCTTCCTTAGAGTATTATAAAATGTTGCAATGTTTTATATATTGATTATTTATATCTGTGTACTAAACAGATTATAACATCGTTGCGCTTGCTTTTTTATTCTACTTGAAAGTATATAATTTTATAACTCTTACAATGTGTAAATAAATTAATCGTGTTAAATAAATTTGGAAATAATTTTCTAATGTATAATAATAAAAATATGATTATGCTCTAAAAATTAATTAGAGAATTTTCAATTGTAAATAGTATAAGTAGAAGAAACTTAGAGAGAGATAAGATATTAAAGAAGTATTACATTTTAAAATAAACGCCAAACTTAATGCACATATTTTTTATTTGTTAAATTTGCATTTATTTCTTATTTTTCTTACTCTTTATTTTGACGCGACACTGGATGACTAATTGATTTTATGAAATTGCTAGTCCTTTTTTACAATATATTACTCTCTATATAAATGTAATAAAGTTAAATGTAATAAAGTTATAACGTAATAAAGTAACGTAAGTTTAATGTAATAAAGTTATAACGTTATAAAGTTATTTGTACATTTCGAATTTCTATTAAGTAGTTAATGTACGTAACATATTCAAGTAGGCAACCGATGTATTAACCACCTGTTTAGATAAACGGCACATAATCGTCATACGATTCGTAAACAAATTTGATAAACAACGTTTTACTTACATCGTCAAAAATACTAAGGGACAGTTCGATAAAATTCGCGACGGTAAGCTTGACGAATGAATTTGACATGGTGTTGATCAGTATGAGAGCGAGACCCTTTTTCCTCGTAGACGATGCCAATCGATCATGTACGATACCTCACCGATTTTTTTGCACTAGCAAGGGGATTGTTTTTTTCATCAAACATATTTATTATATGAAATATCAAATATACTGCATTTTAAAAATTAATTATATATATATATATATATAATTAATTTTTAAAATGCAGTATATTTGATATTTCATATAATAAATATGTTTGATGAAAAAAATATCCCCTTGCTAGTGCAAAAAAATCGGTGAGGTATCGTACATGATCGATTGGCATCGTCTATTGTATATATATATATACAATAAGATTATTGTAGGTACATTAAAATGACGTATTATAAGACTCATACATTAAAAAAAATGCATTTGTAGAGATTTAACGTCAGAAGTGCGAAAATACTTGAAGAAGTGAAAACAATACCGAAACTTGGTGAGTTTAGCTATAGAATGCCACAATACCGCATATCTCTATCTAAAATAGTATGTCAGTTATAACGTTTTGTAATCAGGGAAAAACTTTATGATCATCCTGTATTATTACTTATATATTTGCACGTTTATATGTGAATTAGATTTATATTATATTTATGTATAAAACAGTTCATACGAGAAATAGTTTATATTTTATAATATCTATTATAGAGAAAATACAAATACTCGTATTTCGTCATATACAATTTACATAGTCAAAGTTCGAAGCATGTTCAAGTATGCGACAGATGTTTTAATTACCTAAAAATGTTTAATATTATCATTAATTTTAATATGTTGTTATTATTTAAAATAAATGTATACATAATAATTATACATTTATACTTTTTGCGTATACTTCAGTAATAGAAAATACTACTAAATTTATTTTATTATAATTTTAGAAGTTATATTTATAATTTTCATAATACTCACAACACCGAAAGTCTGGATAGACATATGAAATATCTTTCCTGCCGTGATTTTGATAACAACTCTTGATCGTAAGATTATTAAAATGAGATCGAGAACAATTTTATGCGGCAATTCATACCAATCAGTCATATAAGCTACTTCACCAACTTTTTTACACTATCACGAAATTAAATCCGTTAATCCAAGCACAAATAATATTTTAATCATTAGAGACAAATTAATAAAAAAAGTTTTTAGAGATAAAAGATTACTTTACCTGATCCGTTACGAGTTCGCCAATGAAGCAAAATATGAAGATATTAAACATCATCGATGTCAGTACCATGACATATGTTATTATAGTGTTTATACTCTCTTCATGCCATTCCTGAAAAGACACATAAAGTGATAGAGCGTTTAAAATTAAAATAGGAAATAACGATAGGCGATCTGTTATATATTCACCTTTCTCAAATATTTAGCATACCGTAATGGTGTAATATCCTAGCATGCATAAGTTGAACGTACACCCGACTAATTCCACAAAACATATCTGGCGCATAATTGCCTCCAATTGTGAAAGAAACCTGTAATCGACACACCCACAGCATAGCCGCGACGTTAAAGCTACTCAACATTTTTATCCGAATATCCTACAGCCGCGATAGTTGCAATTCTGCAAATATGTCATATTTAAAAAAAGCGTTATAAAATAATATATCCAACGTGTTATATAGTTTCCTGGCACTTTTTAAAAGCAAGCAAAAATTACGTTTTACGAGAAAAGTTTTACATGAGATTGTCTAAAGGCCAGTAAAAATGTATAAAATACAACTGTGTATCATTTCTGGATAATTAAAGTCGATCTGCGCGTAATCTTTTAAGATTCTTACCTCAACGCTCGCAGATGGTGCTCCACGATGTTCGCCAGTCTCAACTGGAGGAGATCTTGCTCTTCCGTGACGAGTTCCTCGAGACGTAGCATCACCACGTTGAGCTGGCCGGAAGCGTGCATCGCGAAAACGGCGGCGAGACCGCACGCGCCGATCGTGATGTTGTTCACCACGATAGTCGAGAGACACTGCAACGCGAGCACGACCTCGTACACCGGGCTAAGTCTGGTGTCCACGAATTTGTTGAATGACGGACACGGTAGGCGACCCGTCTCGATCGTCTCGTTGCCGATCACTACGGCTATCCGCGACATTCCCCTCGCTATATTGTAACAAATAACACCACCCTGCATGATGAGCGCACAAACTCCCGCTATAGCGCGTCCCACTCTCGCGTTTCTCAGCATCAATTTCCGATCGTGTCCTCTCTTCGCCATCCGCCAATCGGTCTCCATATGTTCTATAGACGTGCGTATCCGATCGTTTTGGTGCAGGAGAGAACAGTAATTGATTCCGCCCATGAGAAGATGGCTCGTAGGCCCTATAGCCTTGAGTTTCAGGCGGAAATCCTTCTCTTCAAATAATATGTATAATATAGAAGGTACCACGGTGAAAGCTATTAAAGAGTGACACGTTAATCGTAGGACATTCATCAGGATATTCCTGGTCATCGAATTCGTCTCTAATTCCGGCCAGGCGCCTATCGATCTCAGAAACCAACGATTAAACTGCAAACTATAATCATTATCTCGCCTGTAAACGTCCACGGTGGTTTCTCTAGAAGCTCGCTTCATAGTCGATTCACGGAAGGCGCGCTAGGTACTGATCACTACTACTGGCTGCGTTTCTCAACGAAGCAGTGGTTGTGCCAGCGCCTGCGCGGACACGCGAGGAGAGAGAACAAATTATTGCACCGTCCGGCTGAGACAGAACGTAATCGATATCTATAGTTACTTGTTGCATGAAATCGCAGTGGTTGTTATACGAGAACATCTAAAACACTATTTGTGAGATAGCTTGGTCGACGAATGCAATCAAGTTTGTAGCTATTATTCCCTTTTGTTTAACGAATAGTATTCTTAATGTTATTTGTATTATATGAAAGGGCGACGTTCTTTGTTCTTGACACTTTAGCCATCAGAAATTATATCTTGTCCATTACATATATCGTATATGTAATCTATCGTACATGTAATATCGTTATTAATAAGATAAAACATGAAATGAGATATATTAGTATGTGTATAATGACATTATTAAGGAATAAAAATGTGCTTTTTTATTAATGCGACAAGAATCAACTATATCACTACATCAGTTAGTAATAATTTACATTTTATTTGTTACCAAAAATTTTTATGCCATGTCTATCTAGTTTAGTGTTATGTCGCTACCGTTCTGACACTGACTATATATTTAAATAGCAAACGCTATTTTCATCACCTGAAATGGTTATAATTGATAGATCTGAACAATCTTTGCGTATTTTTTACTGTAATAACATTTCTAGGTCTCCGTAAGCTCCCTATGTATTAGAATGATACAAGAATTGTTAATAATAAATATTACAACGTAATAACTATTAAATAGTTAAAAATAAAAGTAGCAAGATTTGAAGAAAATTTATGGAAGCAGAGGTAAGCTTGCATTGAAATTTTATTATCTACAGAAAAATGTTAATATAAAAGTTATTGGATAAACTTACATCTACAAAAGTCGCAATAAATAGTTGAATTTTTTCGGTGGTTATCTTAAATAACGGTAAATAATCGGTTTTCGATTTCGAGATTATTAGAATCAAATCACACAGAAAATACATACGGAAAATATTATTAGGCTACCAAGATCCGAGTTTAGATTGTAAATGGTAAGTTTATTCTATATTAATTGTATATCATCAGTTCTTTTCACGTAATACAGATAAATTAAACTCCCTTTTTTATCAAATATGATAATAAATACTATTTTTCTTTCTTAAAACCATTTCTCTGTTGATACATATCAAATAATTAATTGATTTGTAATCAGTGGTTGCATTAATAATTTTTACCCTTTGAACAAGTTTTATATATTTAATGTACGCAGCATGTTAAAATAGGCGACTGATGTCTTAATCACCTACAAGTTGGATGAGCAACACGTAAGTCATTTGCTGCTCGCAAATAGATACGATAAACATTTGACATTGCGTTACTCACGTCGCTGAAGGTACTGAAGGACAATTCGAAGAGATTTCCAGCGGTAAATTTGATCGATGCATTGGACATAGCAATCATTAACACGACATCGAGGGCTTTTCTTTCTGATAAACGATACCAATCGATCATGTACGATACCTCGCCGATCTTCTTCCACTGTTTGCAGAATTGTTATTAATGAATTTTACTTATTTTTTAATACAAAACATAACTATGCTTACGTCGCTCAGAATTGCTTTTTAAAATAAATTCTAAATTTCTTAAATTTTATTATTATAATAAAAATATAACACTTCTGCTATATTATAAAAGTATACCATGAAAGAAATGTGCTTGCAAGATTTTCCATTAAAATCTAACAAAAAAATGGTATGATTATTAGGACTTTTTACCTTTTCGGCAACAAGTTCGCCGATGTAACAAAATATAAAAATATTGAACGTAAAAGATAGAAGCAGGACAATATACGTTATATAACTTGTAGTCTTTTTGCTCTCCCATTCCTGCAACGTAAAGGTTCTCTTCTATATTCGAGAACATATTGTGCGCGTCGTTGTAAACCGCACATATCGGTTTAGAATATTGTTCCGAAACAGCGATGCATTTTACGCGGTATGTACTCTTCGTACACTTTACATGCATACCATGATAACATAATATCCAAGAAGACACATGCTTACTGTACACTGCACAACTTCCACGACAGATATTTCGCGCAGTATCTTGTTCGTTAGTGCTATAAAACTGAAAGATAACGGACATATTATCGCGCAAAAATACTTTTAACAGAAAAGTAGGATTTCATAAAATGTTCCTAAACAATTTAAAATTAAATTGAAACTCTACACAAAGGTATACATATATGTTGAACGCGCGATGAGGCATCGACGATGCTCGTCGGAAAGTAACTCACCGTAAAACTCGAACGTGCTGTTCCACGATCATCGCCAATCTCTCATCCATGGTATCGCACAAATCTTTCCGTTCGTTCAGCAAATGCTCGATCCACCGTATTAGGATTTCCATACGGCCGTAGGCGTGCATCGCGAACACGGCGGCCAAGCTACATCCAGTGGCGGTGATGGAGTGCGCGAGGAAACCCGACAAGCATTGCATCCAGAAGAAAATCTCACTGACAGGACTGTATCGTACGTCGACGATTGCTCTGGCGACCGGATACACTAATGGCCGATACGTCAGGTTTCCGTCACTCTCCGTAATCTTGCCGACACTGAACGGCAGAGCGAGATAGAAGAAGACGGCACCGCCGTACATGAAGAACGCGCAGATCGTTACGAGGCGTCGGCCGAATTTCGCGCTCCTAATCATGATGATCCGATCACCGTAATGTCGAGTATTTATCCAGTCGCTCTCGATATGCTTGATACCCCTGCGAATGTCTTTCTCGTGGAAAATCAGCGAGGAATACTTCACGACGGCCAGTACGCAGAAACTCAGCGCTCCAGAAAGTTTCAAGATAATGTATGAGTCATTCATTTCGAGTACTATGCAGACGACGGCAGGTATGACGAGGAAGCTGATTAAACTGGTGCAAATCACGTTCAACAGCCTGTACGCGTATCTCTCTGTCCATGAGATTGTGGATTTCGGCCACGCACCGATTAGCTCCAGCATCCAACGATTCAGCTGAAGGCTCAGCTGCAGATCTTTCTTGTGATCGTAAACGGTCGCGACTGGATTTGCCTTCTCTGTGATGACAGTTTCATGCATTGTTGAGTCGGTGAAAGCTCGATGATTACTGATAGGGTTGTGCGAGAGCTCGAGTGCGGAAAGTCAAATGCGGCTGCGCTATTCCGCGCGAACTTCCCTTCTAGGAAAGGGGCGATCAAGTGATCGGGAGAAAATAACGAAGGGTAAACTTTGTAGTCGCGTTTTTTCTAACTTCCGTGAAAGGGTTCAAGGTTTCCTCGTGTGGTGCACCGCACATTTTCCGTTCGTGAATTATTCTGTTCATGAACGGAAGAGATCTACGTTCTTCGTAGATATATTTTCTACGACTTAGCACGATGTTATACGTGGATGAAATACGATTTCGCATATATGTATATGTATATTATGTAATACTTAAAAGTGACTCGCATGGAAACATATATTATTACTGTACGTATTTAATTGAAGAAATGCTTTATTCCATCTTAAGATATGTCGTCCAAACTAAAGAAATTATTTTATAATGAAGCAAAATTGTTCTTATATCATAAAAATAAAAATTTTGTAATATATTTTATGAAATAATATTGGGAAATATTTTCGCTTTGTATCGAAATATGAGTCTTTTTATATTGACAGGTGGTCAAGCAGTACGAGAAGCTCGAGTATGACCAGACAGATGTATAATGACGAGGGTCTCTCTTTTTGTAAAAACAGAATATGTGCCGCGTTTGCGTGTCAACAAAGAAGAAAACCGTCGTGCGACGTAAAGTACAATGCGATTTTCTAAAGTTTACATTTACGAGTTAGAAATGATATTGCGCGCGTCAAGTGATTTGTGCTGCATATAGTTACACTGTAAAAAATTTAATGTCCCAGAAAGTCCACTCTAAATTTTGTGTTAAAATAACTCATGCATTGTGTTATTTTTTACATTTAGAAATGTTATATCGACTAAAATAACATTTCTAAATGTAAGAAATAACACAATGCATGAGTTATTTTAACACAAAATTTAGAGTGGATTTTCTGGGACATTAAATTTTTTACTGTGTACGTAAGCCGAATGCCATGTACGGAAAATGTTACACATATATACAAATATACACATGCATTATCTTGACAGTTAAAGAATCTGTTATAACTTCGCGAATGCGCTGTTCTGCGCAACTTTCCTGCTAGGAAAAGGGCAATCAAGCGATCGGCAGGATACGAAGGGTAAACTTTATAGTCGCGTTTTTTAACTTCCATGAAAGGGCTCAAGGTTTCCTCGTGTGGTACTGCACGTGTCTGTTCATGAATTATGAACGGAGCGGTTTATATTTTTCGCAAAAATATCTTCCGCAATTTCTCGAGACGGATCGCAAGTGTTTCTTTCGTACATAAAATACTGTTCCACATTACTTACATAGCATTGGAAAGATACGATTTTCTACACGTATACATGTATATTACATAATAGTTATACATAATAAGGCATATAAAATAAATAATTTTATTTTAATATGTTTTTAAATGCAGAAAATGCTTTGCATTTTATGATATATGTTCCATCAAAACTTTAATTATTTACTATAATTCAAACAAATCGTACTTTCTCAAGTTGTAAGCGTTTAAAGCATATTTAAATAGGCATGTTTAAATAGATGATTTTATAATCCTTTTTTAAGATAATTGCGTTATTATAATATCTGTGTGTAACTGAAAGTATTTATTTTGATTTTGCAATCATATTTTTTATTTTATCGCATGTTTTTGTTTTCTTGTAAAAAACTTGCATTTTCGTAGTTCAAATACTATATTAATATAAAATACAAAATTCCAATTTTTTTTTTATAATGTGGATGTAGTACTTACATCACTGAAGCTGCTGATAGACCAATATTATATGTCCAGCAATAAGCCTGCCAGTTGAGATGATGGCAAGGCTCTTTTTTCGAAAGTCGGTGCCAATTGATCGTCTAATACAAGCTCTCACGTACTTTTATGGTCTATCACAAGATTTCTGGTACAGAGATGTTTATCACAAAAAATGTTTTAAATTGTCCTGGTATTATATATTTTTGTCGGAAGATTTTCTATAACATAAAATAATGTTAAAGAAAATAACAGTCATATTTGTTCCATTAAAAATTTGCCTATAAAATAAAATATGATTATGTTGAACGTAAGTGAAATGAGAAATATCAGATGTGTTAAGCTATTACTTTCAAGTTGTTTAAAATCTCATTTCAAAAATATATATATAATTTGTGACTGACAAATAAATAACAGCAAAAAAGAATTATATATTTCTGATATATTATATAGCATATAGGATATATGAACTTATTACACATATTAAAAATTAAATAGATGTAAATATATCATTATATAATAATTCAAGGAAATATATATTTAATATATAACTTACAATCCAAGAATAATTTTACTTAGTTTTCCTGAATTTAAGATTTAATAATCGGATATTTAATCGATCTCAAAATATATCACAAGCAAAACTCGTCGGTCATCATGAAACACTTTTAAACGTCCATGTTCAAAAATATGTAAAGCACTTACAATATTAGGTTGAAGAACAGAAACCATTCTGAGGAATCTTCTAAAAAATCTCGTCCATTTCTTCGGGATTTCTCGAAATTTTTCTTCTTCAGATTCAGCCGAATACAATCCCAATGTGTGCATGATATAGCTGATGTATCCTATCCAGTTGGAATTCCGTAAATTAATATGTTCGATAATGACATATATACGAACGAAATGAGAGAAAAACATTCTTCATAAATTCTCCCTAGATTACTTGTTCGCGAAGCGGTTGCATGATCATAACTGATGAGAGTACGATGAATTCAGTTTTCATTATGCAAGCTGTCGCGTCTTTGTCACCGCGCGCGGTGGTTCTGTCGCAGGACAATTAAAAGTTTGGTACGAAAGATTGCGTGCGCGCAATTTTTTGCCGATAGGAGATAATTACATCAGGGTAGAATCGATTCATACGGGACAGTTTTTAGCAAGACAGTACGAACAGTCTGTCTTGAGTTAGGTCATAGGTCATAAATCGTGGATTATATTAAATTAACAAAACTATGCAAATTGTTAATTAAGTCAATGATTAATATATCTTGCAGTATCTAATCCTAAAAATTAGAAATTTTAAGTAAATGTAAAATATGCCAAAAATTTATTATTTACTCTACTCGATTTTTTACGAAACGTCTTAAAATGAAAAGAAAAAATTAAGATTAAATCAAGAAGTATTGATTATGTAATCTCATCCACTCCTTTCGAAGGTAGTGTCAATTACAGATAATTAATAGATTACAGATTACTATCGAGTACTATAATTACAGACAATTCGAATACTATATTCCTATAATAGTCATTTCATCAAAATCATGTGCGTTTCGGGTTTACGGATGACAGATGATCAGGTGGGACCAGAAGCTCGAGCATGACTGGACAGATGTATGTGATAATGGATGCATGGTCTTTCTTTCTACGGTAAGAGTATAGTGTGTGCGGCGCCACGCTTGCGTGCACAAAACGTCTGCGCATAATGACGGGGTTACGCGAAAGAGAATAGGCGAATTTTACATGCCAAATTATCGATTAAATATGTTGCCAAAAACTACTGTGTGATGCATGGCACATACATCATTTCGTAAAATTTAAAATTATAAGCCAGAAAGTGTAAAGTCAGGTAATTTCCGGCATATTGCTATGTAAGCAGAATGTCATACAAGTAAAATGTTATAATTCTTATATACATATTATCTAACAATTATTGCAACTCGTTACATATGCAAGTTTGTTTTAATTACAAACTGCAAACGCGACATCATAATATAATACAAAATTATACAAAATTCTAATATTTCAGATTGTACTTTGCATGATTTTATATCGCGTAATGATGTGTGCAGCTCCAGGACATAGTCTAGTAGAAAAACTGATGAAAATTTTTTTTTTTTCAGCAAATATTGCAATAATATAAAATAATAATAAATATGTTAATTTCCTATTTATTAAAATTCATTTCTCCTTTTTTCCTTGATACGTATCGGCTAACTAATTGAAATTTATTTCCAATCAGTGGTTTTATTAATTATTTTTATACTTCAAACATATTTTAAGTAGTCAATATACGCAGCATGTTCAAGTAGGTAACCGACATCTTAACCAATCTATTAATTGGATGAAGGATGTGTAAATTATGCTATTCACAAAGAGATACGATAGACATTGCATTACTTACGTCGAAAGTATTTGGCAGAGACGACTCAAAGAGATTTTCGGCGGTAAGTTTGATCGACGTATTAGACACAGCAATTATCAATATGAGGGCGAGACTCTTTTCCCGATAGACGACGTGTCTGTTTCATAGCACTCCATCACTGCCGATGCCGGTTAGGCACATGCAGCTTGGCCGCCTAAAAGTCTTCATATACAATAGATTGAACACCCAGTAGACAGTCGGGAAGATTTCTACGATAACGTGGATGAGAGATTGACAATGATCGTGCAACAGTATGTTCGAATCTTACGGTAAATCATTCTCAGACGTGGACCGTCTGAGCTAACCTGTTGGACGCGGTAACAACCTTTTAAAATATAGTTTATAATGATTATTATATTATACATATCTCTTATAATTTATTATAAATCAAATAAATATAATATATAATTTATTATCTTTTTATACTTTTTTATGATAATGTCGTACAAATGTAAGTAATATGTTTAAAATTTTTATTCATAATAATATATATATATACTCATATACTCATTATAATAATATTATTCCCGAAAGAAAGAAATAGTAGGGTATAAAATGCAATACTTAAAAATATAGCGGGTTATACGAACTATTTCGTATTACCCAACATCACTATTTTTTATGATATACCAATCAGTTTTAGAATCGTTGGAATCGTTTTATGCACCTGTACGGTGTATCTAATTTCCAACTCATAGTTGGAATTCCGTGAATCCGTTCGTTCGATTATGGCATTATGGACGAATCGGAGGAAAACCCTCTCACTTGTTTGCAAAGCGATCGCATGATTGCAACTGACAGGTAAAAATACGATTAAACGTGCCAGTTTGCATGTCTCTACCTCGGTTGCTTCTATCGCAGCGCGGTTAAAAGTTCGAGGGTTACGTGCAACGGGTTACGTGCGTGCATATTTTGCGAATTCGAGGAATTACAGGACGGAATTACAGGATGGAATTGATTTACATGAGACGGTTTTTGACAAAAGTACATCTACCTTGCGTTATATAGGTCATCGTAGATCGTGAGTCGTATTGATCAGTAATAAGCGAATTGTTAATTAAGTCAATATTGAATCTTTTGCAACAAGTAATCTTAAAGTTAATAATCTTAAGTAAATGTAAATGCCGAAAAGATGCTGTTTAACTTTCTCTTATTTTTTATGAAATGTTTTAAGATTCATAAAAGGTAAAGGGAGAGATTAACATTAAAATAAGAAGTATTGATTGTTTATCTTATCCATTCGTTTCAAAGGTGGCGTTAATTACAGATAATTAATATTTGAGTACTGAATTGTTATGACAGTCAATTTCATCAAAATTATGTGATGAATTTTCGGAGTAGATTAAAGTACGCCATTGATGTTCTAACAATCTATGAAATAACGAAACAAACATATAATTTAATACTGGCACACACAAGTTAAAAAAAATGAGACAAGATTTCAACTTACATTACTGAACGTAGGTAGAGACATTTCTATCATTTTGCCCGCTGAGATTTTTGCCGGAATATTAGAAACCGCCATTATCAGGATTAGAGTTCGAGCCCTTTTATGCGGAAGACGATGCCAATTGGTTGTGGACGTCATTAATCCAAGCTTCAGGCTCTGTCACAATTAATTAAGTATATATTTTGTTCTTATGAAGACGTTGGTGTTCAATTTAGACAGCGCATAATGTGAATGTCAACACTAACTACCTGATCTGTCAACAGTTGACCGACGTAGCAATTAGTAAAAATGGAAAAAGCGAAAGATGTAAGTATCACAGACATAGTTAACATGGCTGTAGAATCGCTACTTTCCCATTCCTATAAAGTTATCACTGTTGCAATACACGAAGCTTGCGATACAATAATATTTAACAAATACTATCTCAGTATTAATTTTTATGCAAGAATCAGTTAGAACTGTCAAATTATTACGCATAGATAAAAGATTCCGCCTCGCGGAAATTGTTCGACGAGATTACCATAATAACGTAGTACCCCGTAAGACATAAAAGTATAGTACAGCCCACTATTTCCACTAACCATACATATCGCATTGATTCCTCTACTTGTTTTAGGAAACTGTAATTAGACGATTTATCTCTTTAATGATTGTATTATTTATATAGTTTTGCTTACAACATTATATTAAGATATATTTAATAAAATGTTAAAATAAAATAATAGTATTTGTCGTATGTGTGATAATTGTAATAATTTTATAATTTTAATCGGAATGTTTTGTTGTATTTTTTGTAATAGACATAATCTGAAAGAAATCATCGCAATAGTGACATTCTAATTCTGTTATATCAATTCCGTTTAGTAATTATCCGCACTCAACAAAATTAATAAAGCGTTTCACTTCCATAAAAATCTTCCCCATCACGTTCATCTTTGTCGACTCACCGTCTCACTTTTATTTGATGCTCTACGATATCAGCCAGCAATATCGCGACATCCCTATCGTTCGGTTCCGGCATGTCGTTGAGATGCTGGAACTTGCCTATCAAGACACTTAGTTGTCCGCAAACGTGCATGACGAAAAACGCGGCCAATCCGGCCGCGCCGACCGTTACCGAGTAGGTGAGCAATCCTGCGAAGAATTGCAGAGTGAAGACGATCTCGTATGCCGGCGAGGCCTGTTCGTCGAACTTGACGAAGTAGCTCGGGCATGCCAGCGCTCTCACCGTGGTGTTCATCGGCGTGAGCATTCGTCCTTTCGAGAGCGGCACGACAGTACGGTAAGACAATCCGCCGACGTACATGAAGACGGCAGAGACAATCGCAAATTTTCGCCCTATCCTCGCCTTGGATAACATCGCTTGCCGATGCCTCAAATCAACCGTATCCCCCCAATCCTGCCGCGCCTGCTTCAGACAATATTGAATCTCTCTCGCGTGGTACACGAGCAGGCTGTACTTCATGAAACCCATCCAACAATTCAGAAGCGGCCCGAGTAATCTCACTCTACGTTTGACGTCGCGCTCCTTCAAGAACATCAGCAGGAGACCCGGCACGATGATGAACGCGAATAAAAAGTAGCAAAAGACTTTGTGTAAGCGAGTCGCGATTCTTTCCACACTGGAAGCGTAACGGGAAATTGGCCACGCGCCGATCATTCGCATGATAATGCGAGTTACTTGCACTGCGTAATTAAAATCATTTTCACTGTTTATCTTCATCGAATCTCCCATAATTAACTGCACTTTCTTTTTCTGTTTTTAAATTAATATTTAACACGCGATTTCTGCGCTCGTCTCGTTTTTTTTCCCGGGCGTTGAGAATTTTCGTTAATATAGCATTAATACCGTTTCCGCATTTCGGTTGACAGATGGTCAGGTGGGACCAGAAGCTCGAGCATGACTGGACAGATGTATGTGATAATGGACGGTCTCTCTTTCTACGGGAAGAGTAGTGTGCGCCGCGCTTGCGTGCACAAAACGTCTGCGCATAATGACAGGGTTACGCGAAAGAGACTCTAGCGAATTGTACGTGCTAAAGTGTCGGATGAATGCAACGTTTCAAAGAATTGCCGTGTGTGACGCACGAACATATACCGCTTCGTAAAGTGTAAATTTATAAGTCGGAAAGGGTAAAATCAGGTAATTTGCTCCTGTTGCCGTGCAAGCAGAATGTCATACCAGGTAAAATATTATAGTTTATATACATGCATTATCTAATGATTACTGCAACTCACTGATAGCTGAAAGTTTGTTTTAATTACAAATTATAAGCGCGACGATATAATAGTAATATGAAAGTTTACAAAATATATACAAAATTCTATAAGTATTTTAGATTGCGCTTTGCATGATTTTATATCGTGTAATGATGTGTGCAGCTCTGAGACACATTTTAGTAGAAAACTAGGCGAGACATACTTGTACTCTTTTTTTTCAGAGAATATCAATATTTATATTAATAAATAATAATAAATATGTCAATCTCTTATTTATTAAAATTACATTTATTTCTCTTTTTTCTCGATACATATCGGATAACTAATTGACATTTATTTGCAATCAGTGGTCGTATTATTCATTTCTATACCTCGGACAAGTTTTACGTAGTTAATGTACGCAGTATGTTCAAGTAGGCAATCGACGTCTTAACCACCTGTTAATTGGATGAAGGATGTGTAAATCATGCTACTCGCAAAAAGATACGATAGACATTGCGTTACTCACGTTGCCGAAAGTACTTATAGACAACTCAAAGAGATTTGCGGCGGTAAGTTTGACCGATGTATTGGACATAGCGATCATCAACACGAGAGCGAGGCTTCTTGTTCCTGGTAGACGATGCCAATCGATCATGTACGATACCTCGCCGATCTCCTTACACTGGTTACAAGATTATTTTTTTATACGAATAAATATAACTTTCTATACCCGTTAAGAATTACTTTATAAGATTTTGAATTTTATTTTCTTTGTATATTATTAAATTATTCTATTGCTCGTATCATAAAATTATGTTATACTGTGAAATGTATTGTATTTGTGAGATTTGGCATTAAATTTATCAGAGGTGCAGAGGAATTAAATTAGGACTGTATGATTTTACCTTCTCGCTAACAAGCTCGCCGATGTAACAAAGTATAAAAATATTGAAAGTAAGAGATATATATAAAGTAATGTTCGTTACATAACTTGTCATCTCTCTAGTCTCCCATTCCTGGAACGTAAAGATTCCTGTATTCGGAATTACATTTTACCTGTTATAAATCGCGAATCTGATATTGGCCTAGTTTACACCGACCGTTTGGTACGCGTGCCAAGTATTGTACTATTTCGTATCAAATCCGTGTTAAATCTCGGGTTATACCGGTGTAAACCGAGATTTGATACGGATTTGATACGAATATAGTATTTTTACGCGTACCGAACAGTCTGTGTAAATTAGACTGTTGTTTTAGTATAGCAATGCGCTTCGCGTGGTACGTACTTTTTGTACGATATGCATACCATGATAATATAATATCCAAGAAAACACATGCTTAATGTACAGCCTGCAATTTCCACGACGGATATTTCACGCAGTATCTTGTCCGTTAGCGATACAAAACTAAAAAGTAACCGACACGTTATCACGTAGAAAATGTTTTGTAGGAAAAATATGACTTTGTTAATTGTTTCTATATGATTAAAAGTAAATTGCAGCGCCCTGTACAGATACATATGGAGGGGTAAAAACCACAGTGGTGTAAGTCAAATTTTTAATCATATTTTTTCGTGTGCATATAGATGCAATTTATATATTGTATAGATTGCATCTATAATATGCACGCGAAAAAAAATTTAAAAAAATTTGACTTACACCACTATGACTTTTACTCCTCCATATATGTATTGAATGTAAGAGTACCGACGATGCTCGTCGGAGAGCGACTTACTCTAAGATTCGAACGTGCTGTTGCACGATTATCGTTAGCCTCTCATCCACGTTATCGCACAAATCTTCCCGTCCGTCCACCAGGTGTTCTATCCATTGTATTAAGACTTCCAGACGGCCGTAAGCGTGCATCGCGAAAGCAGCGGCTAAGCTACATGCGCCGGTACTGATGGAATGCACGATAAAACCCGACAGGCACTGTATCCAGAAGAAAATCTCACTGACGGGACTGTGTCTCGCGTCGATTAGCACCCTGGCGACCGGGTACATTAGTGGCCGATACGTCAAGTTACCACCGTCCTCCGTGATCTTGCCGTTATTGAACGGTAGAGCGAGATAATAGAACGTGAAACCGCCGTACATGAAGAATGCGCAGATCGTCACGAGACGCCGACCGAATTTCGCGTTTCTTATCATGATCATCCGATCGCCGTAATGCTGAGTGTTCGTCCAGTCGCTCGCGATATGCTCGATACCCCTGCGAATGTCGTTCTCGCGGAAGATCAGTGAGGAGTATTTGACGACGGCCATCAGGCAGAAATTCAACGGTCCAGTAAGTTTCAAGATATTGTACGCGTCATCCATTTCGAGCACCAGGTAGATTGCGGAGGGTACGAAGAGGAAGCCGATCAGGCTGGTGCAAATGATGTTCACCAGCGCGTACGCGTATCTCTCGATACTTGAAATCTCGGTTGATTTCGGCCAGGCACCGATCGGCTTTAAAAGCCATCGATTCAGCTGGATGCTCAGCTGCATATTCTTCTTGTGATCGTAAACGATCGCGACTGGATTTGCCTTCTCTGTGATGACGGTTTCATGCATTGTTGAGTCAGTGAAAGCTCGATGATTACTGACAGGATTGTGCGAGAGCTCGAGTGCGGAAAGTCAAATGCGGCTGCGCTATTCCGCGCGCACTTCCCTTCTAGGAAAGGGGCGATCAATTTAAGTGATCGGCAGGAAACGAAGGGTAAACTTTATAATCGCGTTTTTTCTAACTTCCGTGAAAGGGTTCAAGGTTTCCTTGTGTGGTGCACCGCACATTTTCCGTTCATGAATTATTCTGTTCATGAACGGAAGAGATCTACGTTCTTCGTAGATATATTTTCTAAGACTTAGCACGATGTTATACGTGGATGAATACGATTTCGCATATATGTACATGTATATTATGTACTTAATACTTAAAAGTGACTCGCATGGAAACATATATTATTACTGTATGTACGTATTTAATTGAGAGAAATGCTTTATTCTATCTTAAGATATGTCGTTCAAACTAAAGACATTATTTTATAATGAAGCAAAATTGTTCTTATATCATAAAAATAAAAATTTTGTAATATATTTTATGAAATAATATTGGGAAATATTTTCGCTTTGTATCGAAATATAGGTTCTTTTATATATCGACAGGTTGTTAAGCAGTACGAGAAACTCTAGTCTGATCAGACAAATGTATAATGACGAGGGTCTCTCTTTTTGTAAAAACAGAATATGTGCCGCGTTTGCGTGTCAACAAAGAAGAAAACCATCGTGCGACGTAAAGTACAATGCAATTTTCAAAAGTTTACATTTACGAGTTAGAAATGATATTGCGCGCGCCAAGTGATTTGTGCTGCATATAATTACGTAAGCCGAATGCCATGTACGGAAAATGTTACACATATATACAAATATACACATGCATTATCTTGACAGTTAAAAAATCTGTTATAACGTTGCGAATGCGCTGTTCTGCGCGACTTTCCTGCTAGGAAAAGGGCGATCAAACGATCGGCAGGATACGTAGGCAGGAAACGAACATAATAAACTTTATGTGAGCAGTTTTCAATTTCCGTGAGGGGGATCAAGGTTTTCTTATGTGGTACTGCTGCACCTGTCTGTTCATGAATTATGAAAGGAAAGAGTTACATTCTTCGCGGAGATATTTTCCGCGACTTATCGGGACGGAACGCAAATGATTTTTTCTTGTATAAGGTATTATATAATATCATATGTGGATGAATATAGTTTTGCATACAAATACATATATATAGATTACATAAAATACTTAAATAGACGAATTATAAAAATATGTAATACTTTTACACAAATTTATAAAAATAAAGATATCATGTTTTTAAATGAAAAGAAAATGCTTTGTTTTACTTCAAGATATGTTTTCCAAATTCTAGATATTATTTTATAATAGAATAGAACTGTTTCTTCTCTCTCTCTCTATTAATATATGAACAAATATTATATATGTATAATATTTGAACGAAATATATTTTTATAGAAATATATTGAAAAATATTTTATCTCGTTGCTTTGCATTTTGAAGCATCAGTAATCAGTATAGTTCATCAAGCATGAGTAAAAATATAAAAATATGAGATATATAGTAAAAATGCACATATCTAATGATACTATTTGACATATAACAATAATATGAAAACAAAATTCTAATATTTTCAATTGTATTTTGTATTACATGATTTTACCTTATGTAATAATATATGTAGCGTCAAGAGATAATTTAAAGGAAAATATTTATACTACATATTTATTTCTTTTTTTCTTCACCATATGCATCAGGCAACTATAATTAGCATTTATTTGCAATTAATCGTTGTATTAATAATTTTGACATTTCGAACAAGTTTCATGTAGTTAACGTACGCAGCATGTTCAAGTAAGCGACAGATGTTTTAACCACCTATCAGTTGGACGAATGTATAAGTCATATTGCTCGAAACAAATATGATAGACATTGATGCTGCGTTACTCACGTCGCCGAAAGTACTGAGGGACAATTCAAAGAGATTTCCGGCTGTAAGTTTGACTGACGAATTGGACATCGCGATCATCAATACGAGAGCGAGACCCTTCTTTCCCGATAGAAGATGCCAATCGATCATGTACGATACTTCGCCGACCTTCTTGCACTGTTTACAAGATTATTTTTGTTATTTCTTTTATGTGATACACAATTACAATTACTATAAGGCTGGTATTCATAATCAGATCTTATTTTAAAACTATCTTAAGTAATATATTTTAAAATGTTAATACAGCTCTGTAATTGGTTAATGACATCTTAAGATTGTACTTAAGACGGTCTTAAATATAAGAACCGACTATGAATACCGGCCCAAGAGTTACTTTCTAAAATATAAATTTTATAAATTCTATTATTATTAGAATTATAATATTCCTGTTATTATAAAAATATACCGTGAAAATATACTTTATCATAAAGTTTGCTTTTAATTTATCACAACTCGTGAAAAAAATATTCATATCTGACAGTATATGAACATATATAAACATATATGATATATATATGAACATATATAAATGAGATATGAACAGATATAAGTTTTACATGCCCATATTTAAAGCATATATAATCATATGTGGTTATCTATTGCCATATATGATCAGATCCGTACATTATACATGGCACAAGATCTGATCATATAAGTTCATATATGGTCAGACATATTATTATGTGTAGCAGATATGACACTATACATAATCGTATCTGGCCTCACATGGTCGTATATAAAGAATGTTTGGCCATGTATTATCAGATATAATTATATGTGGCCATACATAACTGTATCGGCAGTATCGGCACTGTATATGATCATATATGACAAGACACGATGCTGTATATGCATGATTGTATATGTTCATATATGGCCGGAAATGATATGAAACATGATCAGATCTGTCTATATATGACCAGATTGGGATATAATGATATAAAATGTCCGGGAAAACTATTCATATCTGACAGTATATGAACATTATATAAATGAGATACGAACAGATATAAGTTTTACATGCCCATGTATAGAGCATATATAATCATATATGGTTATCTATCGCCATATATGATCACATCGTACATTATACATGACACAAAATCTGATCATATATGGCGATAGATAACCATATATGATTATATATGCATGCTCTATATATGGGTATGTAAAACTTATATCTGTTCATATCTCATTTATATATGTTCATATACTGTTAGATATGAATATTTTTCCCGGACTTTTAGGCGAATAAAATGTCCGCGGGAAAAATATTCATATCTGACAGTATATGAACATATATAAATAAGATATGAACACAGATATAAGTTTTACATACCCATATAATAGAGCATATATAATCATATATGAACTTATATAGTCATATAAGATTATATATGATCAGATCAGATATTGCATCTCAAAGTATTCGATAGATGGGATAGATGGGCATTCAATGGGATCTGCTTCTCGTATTTAAAATTTGACAAACAGTGTTATAATAAGAACGGTATCAAAAGACACGACACTGTCTCGCACTATAGAGCGGCACAATTTTTGTATTAGTTGTATCGTGGAGTCTACTTTTATAATAAAGTCACACACTTTTAAAAAATAACTTTTGAAAATGTCCCGAGAAAAAATATTCATATCTGATCATATATGATCATATATGAATGGCCAGATCTGAGGATATATGATCTGGTATTATTGTATATGTTAATATCTGATCAGGTATGATCAGATCATATATCCTCAGATCTGGCCAATTTCCATATCTGACCATATATGGCCAAACATATATGATCATATATGATCAGATATGAATATTTTTTCACGGGAAGTGCAAGCAATTTGTTTATAAGTACTTTACCTTTTCGGCAACAAGTTCGCCGATGTAACAAAATATAAAAATATTGAACGTAAGAGATATAAGAAGAACGATATACGTTATATAACTTGTAGTCTCTTTACTCTCCCATTCCTGGAAAGTAAAGATTCCTGTATTCGAGGCTCCATTGTAAATCGTACACGTTGTTCTCCGACATTGCTTCGAAATAGCAAAGCGCTTCGCATGGTACGTACATTTTGTACGATATGCATACCATGAGAGTATAATATCCAAGAAAACACATGTTTAACGTACATCCTACAATTTCCACGACAGATATTTCACGCAGTACTTTGTCCGTTAGCGATATAAAACTGGAAGGTAACGAATGTATTATCGGACAGAATATATTTCGCAAGAGAATGTCGTTACGTAAACAAATAAAAAGTAATTGGGGTGCTCTATAAATACATATTATATAGAGCACTTCACTACAGTTTTAATGACACTGTTTAATGAGAATTTGAAAAGATATCAACGATCCTCGTCGGAGAATGACTCACCGTAAAATTCGAACGTGCTGCTGCACGATCATTGCCAATCTCTCGTCCACGTTATCGCAGAAGTCTTCCCGACCGTCTACTAGGTGTTCAATCCATTGCATTAAAACCTCTAGGCGGCCGTAAGCGTGCATCGCGAACACGGCGGCCAAACTGCAGGCACCGGCAGTGATGGAGTGTGCTATGAAACCCGACAAGCATTGGATCCAGAAGAGAATCTCAGCGATGGGACTGTGTCGCGCGTCGACAATCACCCGGGCGACTGGATACACCAGTGGCCGATACGTCAGGTTACCATCGCTCTCCGTGATCTTGCCCTTACTGAAAGGCAGAGCGAGATAATAGAACACGGCACCGCCGTACATGAAGAACGCGCAGATGGCCACGAGACGTCGGCCGAACTTCGCGCTCCTGATCATGATGACCCGATCGCCGTGATGCTGGGTGTTCATCCAGTCGCTCTCGATATGCTTGATACCCGTGCGAATATCGTTCTCGCGGAAGATCAGCGAGGAGTACTTGACAACGGCCATTAGGCAAAAACTCAGCGGACCGGAAAGTTTTAGGATGTGGTACGTGTTATCCATTTCGAGTGCCATGAAGATGGCAGAAGGCACGAAGAGGAAGCCGATCAGGCTGGTGCAAATTATGTTTATCAGCCCGTACGCGTATTTCTCCATATGTGAAATCTCAGTTAATTTCGGCCAGACACCGATCGGCTGTAGTATCCAACGGTTCAGCTGAACGCTCAGCTGCATGTCTTTCTCATGCTCGTAGACCGTTGCGACAGGATTCGTTCTTTCCATGATAGTTTCTAGCATTATTGAACTGGCAAAGGTTCGACGGTCACTGAGAGGAATGCGCGAGAGTTTGAACGAGGAAAGTCAAACGCGCGCCGCGTCTGCGCTGTTACAGCGCGCCTTCCCTTCTAGCTTCTGGGAAAGGGGCGATCAAAGCGATCGGAACACAAAGGGTGAACTTTGCAGACGCAATTCTCGATTTCCGCGAGGGGGATCGTAGGTTTCCTCATGCGGTGCTGCACCTGTCTGTTCATGAATTATAAACGGAAAAGATTTACATTCTTCGCGGAGATTTTTTCCGCGATCGGGACGGATCGCAAATGTTTCTTTGTTGCGTAAGTGTTGTACGATATTACACGATAAACACGATTTTTCATACGTATACATGTATGTAGATTACATTTAATACTTATATATGAGTCGTATAAAAATAATGATATTACAATGATATGATGATGATTGGTTTTCAAATGAAGGAAATGTTTTGTCTTATTTTTTTGCGATATGTTCTCCAAATTGTAAAAATTGTTGTATAATGTAGTAGAATTGTTCCCGTAATATCATTTGAACGAAGTATATTTTTATAAAGATACATTGGGAAGTAGTTTATCCTGCTTTGTATTGGAGCATCAATAGTTTATTAATATATAAAATAACTGAAGTGCACGTATCTAATGATACTATCTGAGAAGACAAGTCTAATCTCCAAATAGTACCAGATAATAATTGAAAAAGTGCAATATTACATACTTCGACTGTTTTATTCGGAGCGCAAGTATCAAGATTCATTGAATAAACGTACTCGTATAAAGTTTACTGTAGTTTCGTGAAGGATTTAATGTCATTTGATGAATACTACCATTTCAAATCGTACTTTCTCATGTAGTAAACTTTCGTAGAATGTTCAAGTAAGCGACAGATGATTTGATAACCTTTTTAAAATAATTATATTGTTATAATATCTTATACGATTAATTTAAAGATATTTATCTTGATCATAGAATGCAACAGATTTTTTATTTTGTTATATGTTGTTTTCTTTTTTTTTTTTAATTAAACTCTTGAGTTTTAAAAAATATTAATAGGTAATGTAGAATTCTAAATTTTTTAATTATATGAGTATAATACTTACGTCACCGAAGCTGCTGATGGACAGCTCGATTATATTTCCGGCAGTCAGTCTGGTGGTTGCGTTGGACATACATATTATCAAGATTACGGCAAGACTCTTCTTTTTTGGAAGCCGGTGCCAATCGATCATGTACGAGCTCTCACGTACTTTTACAGTCTGTCATAAGATTTCTGTTATAGATGATTGTCACGAAAAGTGTTTCAAATTATCTGGCGCTATTATATACAATATATCGTTGTTCGAAGTTCGAAGGATTTGGACGTTGTGTAATAATGTTTTGGAAAATAACTGGTATACCTGTTCCGTTAAAAGTTCGCCTATGTAACAAAATATAAATATGTTGAATGTTAGCGAAATGAGGAGTATCAAATATGTTAAGCCGCTTACAGGTTGCTTAAAATCCCATTCCTACAATACACAGAATTTGTATGATTGCCAAATAATTAACATCAAAAAGGGATAATGATTCTTCTTATATTATTTATAAAAATATAGGATTCATGAACTTATTATGTTAAGTCGATATGTACCATCATGCAATAATATCCAAGAAAACATATATTCAATGTACATCCCACAACTTCGATCAGAGATATTTCATGCAACAATTCCTCTGTTAGCGATATGAAGCTAAAAAAATACGTAGAAGAAACTAATAATAGCATATCTTCTTTATAAAAATTATATTTTATGTGGCAATATCTCTTTATTCAAAGAAGTTTGCTTGTTAATTATTTAAACTTAAATTATTGTCAAATATATTATCGCATAACATTAGTTAATTGTCGGTATAAATTAATTTTTGGCATCGCAACATTTAACAAATGACGATGCAATGTTTTAACAGGTTCGAAGTCATACTTACTTCAAGATGCGCACATGTAATTGTATTATATTAGCCAGTCTCTCGTCCGTGGTATCGTTGACGCCTTCACGACCGTCAACTAGATGGTTTATCCAGGACATGAGCACCTGCAGCTGTCCGCAAGCATGCGTCGCGAGGAGGGCTGCCAAGCCGCATGAGGCTACCGTGATGTTGTGGATGATAAAACCGGCAAATAGCTGGATGAAATAAAAGATTTCGTTGACGGGACTACGACGGGTGTCGACGATCACGTTGGGCACTGGAAACACCAGCCTACGATAGGTGAGATTGCCATCCTCTTCGACGGTCTTCGCGCGAGTTAACGGCACCGCCACGAAATAGAACAAGACACCGCCGTACATGAAGCAGCTGCAGACGACCGCTAATCGACGACCGAAGTTCGCGTTCTCCAGCATCATCCTCCTTTCGTCCGTGTATTTTACGTTTCTCCAGTCATCCTCGATGTAATCGACGCATCTACGTATGTCCTCCTCCCGCAGAAGCAGGGCGCAGTACTTCAAAACGGCCATGAAGAAGAAGGTGAGAGCGCTGCCGAGTTTTAATTGGTTGTAGAAGTCCTTGATTTCCAGGACGATGAACATGCCGCTGGGAATTAGAAGAAAACCCAGTAGCACGTAGCAGATGACATTCAGCGCTCTGTACCACAGTGTTTCTATCCAGGAATGTCTCAGCGGCCATGTACCGATTATCTTCATGACCCAGACATTCAGCCGCATATTGGCTCGAAGATCATTTTTGTAATTCTGATTATACAGCCTAGGCTCGTCGCCGGTATCAGGATAATGGAGCGAGTTTTCCATTATCGCAGTACGGATGATTGATACGTACTGACAGTCGCGATGCTACGAGCTTGTCATCGACGTGATTTGCGCTTGCGCCACTTTGTAGTCTCCGTGGAAGAAAAAGGGATTTTACGCGGAAATTTTCTAAGCGAGTAGCGGAAAACTTTGTTCGATTATCTGAAAAGGGTACGTGGTGCTTCGAGAATCGTTTCCTGAAAGGGGCAGTTTATAATAGCTCATGTTGGTAGACACTAAGGGAGACGACGTGAAGTTATATTTGGACTGAATTCCGATTTAAAAAAATCGTGGAGAAAGAATAAACGTTATGTACAAGTTGACGAATGTGCGGCAGTCTTTCTAATGTGGTGGCGGAAAGAGAAATATATTTATTATATGAAAAGAACTGTGCTTTGACGTAATTCGTGATACCGATTGTAAAAAATGGTGTTTAAATATTATTCTATATATATTATACATACGTATAAGTTGTATATTTAATTAATAATTTCTTTCATTAAATTGAAGTTTGAGTTATATTCTTTATAAGTAGAAAAATGTCAGAGTAATACTATATAAAAATACGATGTTAAAAAAATAATTCTTAAAGGTTATATTTTTACAAATATATAACTTCAGATATATATATAACTTTTATCATTGAAACTCTTTTTGTTTTTATTATATTGTGAGTGAAATATACGAAGAAAATTGCTCACGGTCTCGAAGCTCTAGAATGAAAAACCGATTATTTTACCCGACGTGAGCTTCGTAAGATATGTATACCTGGCCATGGCGCAATTACTATAGGACAAGACAACGAGCTTCTTTACTGTAAAGAAGTAATACCAATCGATTGCGCAGCAGATTGTGTTTACTGTACTCCCCTGTCATGTGCAACAAGTGCATGTATATTAGCATTGTATTATCGAAATTTAATAACTTTCCTTTAAATAACATTTGTTACTTATTACTTTTATACACACAGTACTTTATTTTTACGTATCAATTATCTATGTATCATACCTGACTACTTAGAACTTCCCCAATGTAACATAATATAAAAATGTCGGAAGTAAAGTAAACGAGCATTATAGCATATGTCAGGATAGTGCGTCATTTCGTTTTCATCTCTAAAATGTATTATTATTTTATTCGAAAATCTCAGAGCAATTACGAAAAATATGCATGTAGATTGCATGAAAATAGATATCAAATAATAAATATAATGCATCGCTGTTGTGTGCATGTCGTTATCGCGGAGGCACAATATTAAAGTATTTCCAATAATTTCGATAAAACACATTTCTTCTACAATATTTTGTATCTGATGTAAAAATCTAAAATTCGAGATTAATTGTTATTGTAATTTTCGGTAATGTTAAAAACGTTTTTTTTAATTCAACATAATATTTTTATTGATAAAATCTTTAATCATGTAACACTATTTCAAGGAATAAATTTACTCAGAGTCTTTTTGAATTTAATATTCAAAAAAATAGACATTTAATTGATCTCATAAAGCATCACAAGCAAAATTATTAATATTTAAATCTAAAGTTTTCATATATCAAGTCAAATTACAAATCTAAAAAAAAATTAGAACTAACGAGAAACGCATAACAATTTCAGCTACTTACTTATGTATCCTTATCTGATGCATGACGATCGCCGACAATCTCAGAGCAACTGCAACGACGCGATCTCTCGATCATTGATTTTCATTCACCAAGTTCTCCAGCCAAGTGGCTAACATAGCTTTGACCACAAGCATGCATAGTGAACAATTCGGTGATCCCACAGACGCTGATTTTCACAATGACGATGCCAGTCACCAAATGCATCGAAAACACGATCTCGTAAGCGGGACTCAGCTGTGAATCGAAGAAGATAAAGTCATTCTCCATAGTTAAAATTCCATAAGTCCGTTCATTCGATTACGGTATGCATGTAGATGAGTCGGAGGAAAATTCTTTCACTTGTTTGCAAAGCGGTCGCATGATTGCAACTCACAGATAAAAAAATACAATGAAACCTGCCGGTTTGTATTATATACGTTCTCGCGTCTACGTGAATCTCCTCCGTCACCGCGGTTCTGTCGCAGTACAGTTAGAAGTTTAGTACAAAAGTTACGTGCGCGCAATTTTTTGCCGATACGAGATAATTACAGGATGGGATCGATTCACACGAGACGACCCTTAAGCAAAGTACGTCTATCTTGCGT